ACATGCAGGCGTTACAAACCTCACTTTTTAAAGTCAGTTAAAAATCATAAGAAATTCCCCCTAGCCACAGGTTTTAACCAGCTCGTCTTCGGTTTATTTTGCACCACACAGCAAAAGAGCTTTATCAGTCTAGACAATATAGTCTAGACGCATTGACGTGTCTTATCTATACTTCATATGGTCCAATGTACAAAGTATTTCCGTTCGCAGACTTCTTGCGTCTTTCCTAGTTTTACACCAGTGTGAGCGAGTGAACACGTGCTCTGTGCTACTGTTACCTTTTTGCAATTTTCAGCGGATTTAGCGCTTTATTCATCTATCAAAGGTATGTTAATAATAATTGTTTAACATAGCTTTAGTATCACCATATTTGTCACTTTTTGAGCTGTTTTTTTATGCTTCAAGAAAGAGAATCGTAGCGTAATGTTGTCAAGGGGTAGGCTCACCGTAGGCTGTTACGTCTGTTACGTACGCAAAGTTTGCTCTTTTATATAGTTTGCTATCCGTTTTCGCTCGAGTTTTGACAATAACAGAAAGAGTTAAGTCTCTGTTCATTCAAAGAGTTTGATGAGAGGTTTAAAAGCAGAGGATAGAGCTAAACAAAAAACGCATAGCAGAGCGTTTCGTCCCCCCCTAGAGGGTACTTCGTGATGTGTAAGAGACGGGAAGGCTTCGCTCGTAAGGGCGCTGTTTTCACGCGGTAGGTAGGATCTAAGATAAAACTTGGTAAACTGTCATTTGGGTACTAAAGAGGACCCCTCTTATTATCTAAAACAGATTCGCCAAATAGCCTGTTCATTTAAACATTGAAAGGGGTTTTTGAATTGACTTTAAGGTAAAGTTGCAGGGGCGGATCCAGGAAATTTTTATGAGGGTGTAGAAAGCAGGAGCGATCACGCGTTTAACGCCGGCCAAACACAAACTGCTTTGCAAGCAGAGGCGAGAAGGTACCCCCCTTAAAAAAATTACATTATGGAAAATGCGCGTGAAATAGTTAAATAGTGTAAAGTGATCTGGTCAATGTAAGCATTCTAGTTTCAAACCAGGAGTAAAACATTCTTTTTTTGGGGGGGGGGGAGGGTCCATACCCACAGGACCCTTCGTTGGATGGTGTACCATTTTCCGTAAGAAATAATGAAAGAGTCGCTTTTTTATGTCAAAAATGGTAATAATGCGTCTGAAGGGGAGGGAGAGGGAGTAACACAAGCGAGCGCGGAAAAAAACAAGGGCGCGAGTGAGCGTGTAAAGCACGCGAGGGGCAGGGGAAGGGACACCCCTGCCTCTCCCCTCGTGTGCCTCGCGCGCTCGTTTTTCCCCGCGCTCGCGCGTTTAACCCCCTCTCCCTCCCCTTCTGACGTCCGCCACGCAGGCTACTGAGAGACGTGAACCTTCATCATTTCAAATATCCCACATATTCATTCTACTTCTGGTTTGTTGGCTTCAGATCGACATGAATGAACAACTATGTATCAGAATTCAGGAAGCTAGATTCGAGGTGGACCTCGATCCTCCCAGAGATGGAGATTGCTTTTACCATGCCGCTACTCATCAGTTGGGTATTAATTGCGAGGCCGCAAAGAACCGTCTATTTTCATTTTTGGAAAGTAATCGCATCGATGTAAGTCATGATTTAATTTTGTTCTCCTTTTGCACCTCTGGAATTTACTCAATGAATTGAATTGCTTAAACAGGTGAAAGGAAACGATCGCATGTCGTTTATATGCGAACTGGACGTGGGTTATACAAAAGTACCTTCTGACTGGTCCAAAGCTTTGGGTCTTCTTAAAAAGAATTTCGTCACTTCTATGCTGATAAAGGCATTTGCTGAAGTGACACAACACCAACTTGTCATCATCACCGAAAATGAGGTAATAAATATATAGGCGTGTTCCTATCAAAAATACAATCAACATTCGAGGATAATGGGTGTATTTGAGAAATTTGTTTCGATTCCATGTTGTCTGTTGTGTCTGATGCAGAGGGAATTCGAGAAAAAAGTCCTTCTTGATTTAGGAGGTTTCAACGCGCTAGATATCCGCCGGACAAGAATTGCATGACCACGTCGGAATCACAGTGCTTTTTAAAACTGGTTGCTGACTGGGCACTGGTATTTTTTTATCGCTAGCTCATCTAATTCCACAAAACATCATCAAAAACAGCAAAAATAAGTAGATCCGCTTTTTGGCTTGACTAAATGGCGGCTAAATGTATTTAACATTTATTTTTCTATAATTTTTCTATGCAGGATAATAATTACGTGAAGGTTATCGAACCTGAGGGCCTATCAGTGGGGACATTGTATTTTGGGCACGGTGGAGACCTGAGCCATTATGTGGGTCTTAGACCTGCTCATATGCGAGTGAGTGAAAATACACATAACATGTAAACCTTAGGCAACATATTTTCCGTTAATTACGTCACCATATTTATAACCACCTTGCCTCATAATCAGCCGTTTTGGAAAATTTTATGTTCGATCACATTTGCACATCCCTCATACGGGTAGTTTATGTCGAAAGCATACATATGATGTTTGCCTGTCAAGAAATCATGTCATCTTTTTTTCAGCTGTTATTTTAATGACTGTGATTATCATTTACAATTTTTATATTTAGCATTAACTTTCTTCAGTCTTTCTACATACGTTTACATACGCTACTACAAAACTAGTTTTGTAGTAGCGTAGGCATTTATAGATTATGCTAGTAAAAGTAGCATATTATGCTAGTACCATTGCTTTTTTTTGGCCAAATTATGCTAAAATTGTGCTCTTTTTTGCAAATTATGCCACCGTTTTTTAAATTATGCTCTTTAAAAAATTGCAAATAAGTCCAAAAAATATATTTTTTAAATAGAAGCCGTTGGTCTACAAGAAAGAAACGCAACAAATACCACAATGAAATTGAAATAAACATGTTTTCGTTCGGATCAGGCATGGCCGACGCCATTTTGTAGCCTTGCCTAATGAGAGGTACTGGGACCGACATGGCTACAATGTGACTTCCGGTTCCGGTGCACCTCAGACCCGGGCTTAGTGATTCACAGTAAACTAAATCTGCTACTAATTGAACTAAAACTTTAAATATCGAATAACGTCACCAAGTGCTTGGGACTAGAGACAAAAAATTATGAAATAATAGCATCAAAAATGATCTGATAATTATCAAAATGTGCGAATCATGCTAGCATTGCTACTTGGCAGAAATTATGCCAGTTTGTTCAAATTATGCCAAAAATTATGCTAGCATAATCTATAAATGCCTATACTAGCGTATGCAAAAGTGTGCAGAAAGTAAATGCTAATGAGGTTTTTCCTTTCAATATGATGTTGAGTAATACTTTCCGAGCTTCGGCAAACAGAATTTTGCAAAAACTATATTGTATTCTACCTAAACTGTTACTTAAATTGTTCGTGTCAGAGATGCGATGCCATTCCTGTATCGCAGGGGGAAGAAGGAGAAGCCTTCTGTCCTGGGGTCAGCGTAGTGAAGGGGAAGGTTATCGATTTAGATGACGATTGCAATTCTTCTGAAGAGGCCACGGTTTCAAAAAAGGAGACCATTTTTCACAAGGTATTTCTTATGATTCAATTTTTTAAACCATCTTCATTCTACTCTGCCGGAGGAAAAGCTTTTCAGCCGAACTGTCTGTAGAAAATGAACGCATTTTATGAGCAATGAAACGGTGAGAAATCGAAAATTTAATGGCCGTTGCAGCATTTTGCTGCATTCTTTTTGAAAACTAGCCGGCTACTACAATAAAACATTCACATTTGATGACATTGTCTTGGCTACTCTAGCCAGGGTTAAACGTATTCTTTCTCTCGCAGAATTACAAATGTGATTATTGCACGGTCAGTTGCCATAATCGCTCAAAGCTTCTTCGACATATAAAGAACAGCCATCCAAAGCCCAAAGGCAAGTCAAAGGTAGCTAACTGCATATGTTGTAAAATTCAAGTGTTATTGGTTAAATAACCTTTGAATAGCCATTGATTACATTTTATTTATGTAGGATGAAGTTGAACTGATGATCATCCGCTCTTCCGACGAAGAATTACCTGACAGACCTGAAGTTGTTGTGATCAGTGATTCTCCAGTGAAGAGTTCGGAAAAGAAATTGCCGAAATCGGATCTCAACAAGACAAGGTATGGTACAAAAAAAATTTTGTAATTTTGCAATATTGCCCGTTAATTTGGTTTGGCTTTTATTTAGAACATTATAGTTTATTTGTGTTTTCTTTCTTTTCTTTTTTTGTGTGTGGCCAATTATGGACCCCATCTAAGTCACTTTTGGGTAAATGATGTTCATAATCTTAAAGTCCTGAAAAAGTGCGACCCCCCGGGGGGGGGTACTCCCCTAAAAAAATGACGGGGGTGCTTGTCGTACCTTTTTGTGGGATGAAATTTGTGAATTGGTACCGCTTAGGGTGCTAAAACCTAAAATGACCCCTGCTAGGGTTGTCGCAGTACCTCTTAGGGGTCTGTAAGGTCATTATCGGATAAAATAATGGCTTGAAAACGGTCATATTATCGGCAACTAATCTGTTATTCTAGAACTGATACCCCTAAGGGGTGTAAATGAATTCGAAGCCACGCCCACAAAATGAGATTCTGGTAACTTTTAGGGGTGTTTTCGAAAGTTTCCGACGAGTACCCTCGTCATTTTCATGAGGGAGTACCCCCCCCCCCGGGAGTGCGACTCCATTCTAGGAACTCTATAAAAAGTGCTTGAAAAGGGGACCCCGTTGTTGTCAGTCCAGCCGTAAAAATGCGACCCCATCCAGTGGCACACCCCCTGTAGCCCATTACTGGGAAGCGCCTCGCCCCCGCGGGGGTGGGGGGGGGGAAGGGAGGCACAGCGGTAAGAATAAGATAGCTGGTTTTCGGTCAACATTCCGTCCCCTTCTTCCCCGGGAGATTTCGCTGACACTAGCCCTACTCTCCAGACATCCCGGACACACTAACCAGCAAGAATTTCTTTATTAATTCCAGCAGGAATTTTGATACCGCTGACCTGCAAAAGCCGACGGAGAACAAATCTAGGGCTGAAAATGAGAACAACGAAAAAGAGGAGGGCTCAAACAGCAGTGACGACAACAGTGAGAGGCACGCTGAAATCGACAGTCACAGTGAAGGCGATGACGACGATTTACTAAGCTCAGTTTTTGAAACGAAGCAGAAACAGGGAAAAATTACAGAGGAAATGTGGTCTGGAATAAAAGTAGAGTCGGTGAAACATTTACCTGAGGGAGTTGACGGACTGAGAGTGTTCAAGATACCATCAGAATCTCTTAAAAATGAAGGCAAAAATATTTTTAAAGACGGGAGAAACTGGAAAAAGAATTGCCCAACCGAATGGAAAGGCCACCGTCGTGTCATGTATGCGGACTACAAAGGATCTAGCAGATGTTGCAATGCACAATGTCCTTTCATGGTGGAGTTCGGTGTTGTAAATACAACACAGTTTAAGAACATGAAAGACGGTGGCGTAATATGCAGTGCTTGCAATCAGCAATCTGAATATGTTGAATGCCTAGCACAACGTTACATAAGTTATGGCCCCTCGTTCACTAAAATATTTTACTGCGGCAATCATACGTGTCCTGTAATTAAGCCCATAAGAAAAAACAAGGGTCAGGTTAGACAACTTATTAAAGACAACCCCAAGATAAAGCCCTCGGAAATTCAGTCAGCATGTATAATGTCTGCTTTTCGCGAGAAAGCAGACTGGGCAACAGTAGAGAAGGAGGTGGAGGCTACCCTAGATCGACAATGGCTAGCAAATGAAAAGAAGCAAATAAAGCGAGATACCGAGCCTTTCGGTCATGACTTTGAAGCTGTTGTGACATTCAAACAGTACTGTGATAAGAAGGACAATTATTATGTATACAAAATCAACGACCGAAGAGGAAACCCGGACAGACCTTCGTTTGTTTTTAAAATGGGGACTCAAAAAGCTAAAATGGCCATCAACATGAATAAAGATGGCAATCACTTCATCAAGGAAGAGTTTTGTTTTTTTGATGGCAAAAGAAAACGCTGTCGAGGTTTTGTCACTCTCACGGCAAGTGTATATTACGGCTTATTACAAAAACAAGTTCCTCTTGCTGTAATGGAAGCTGAAAAAGAGGACACAACCAACATCGAACTCTTCTGGACACTCTTTAATGAAGTTCTACAAAAAGTTTCCGGTCATAAAGAGTATAAATTTAATCCCCTTGGCTGGTACACCGACATGGCGGGGGCCAACTTCGCGGCACTAATCACAGTGTTTGGTGAGGAGGCTGCGTCACGTATTAAGTCCTGCGAATTTCATTTTAAAGATCAACGAAACAAGAAAGCACAGAGACTGGACAATGAAAATAGCGGCCGTTTTAAGGAACTGTGTAACCTTCTTCTAACGAGTGAAACCGAAGATGGCTACGCCAAAAGTAAAGCTGCCATGGACGCATTCATCGAAGAGAGTGAGGATTACGCCTTCTTAAAAACATGGGTATCTTGGTGGCACGACAGACGCGGGTTCATTTGTAGAGCTTTCGCTCCAAAAGATGCCCCCGAAATGAACAAAGCAGAAGTAATACATGCTGGGTGGGCACACAGGGATTCACCGAACCTAAGCCTTCTCAACGTCTGTCACGCGGATGTCCGTGACACTCTAGTTTTGGAGAAACAACTAGAATCCTACAAGGAAGGTATCCCGGCACCAGGAAACGGACCCTCCTTCGCTGAACGCAAGCGAAGGCAACATGCCAGGCAGCTTCAAAAAGCCAAAAGAATAGGAAAAGAAATGTTTGAAGACAGTGAAAATGGCCACGTGATTGACCCTTCATCTTCTTATCAGCCACCAAGAAACAAGAAACGGAAAGGAAAACAATCAGGAGGTAACCAATCCAAAGGAAAGGTTACTGTGAATTCCGGGCCAGTGGCGTATGGAGACACGCCTAACATGGCCCCGCCTAATATGCCCCTGTCTAATGTGTGCCCACAAAATGTGCCCTCGTGTTTCATGTCTCCTCAGAATGCGCTACCATCTTTTTCGTCTACACCTAATACATTCCCATCCAGTTTGCCCCTACATAATGCACCTGAATCAAATGTGCCTCAGGCTTATGTGCCCCTTATAATCTTTGCCTTAAACGTGGATCTTTGCATTAATGTGGATAAGAGGGTGATAGGAAAGAATGCTGATGGGCGTTTGGTTTAGAGCACGGATTTTACGAACACTTACTATCACCCCAGCATATCTCACATCAAGCGAAAAAATTCTTTATTCACAGGTCAAGTTTACATAGGAAGAGAACTTTACAACTCTCTGGATGCCAATCACCGCCAAGTATTAGATTCTTTTCAATTTAATGTAACATTAAAATAGTTTACCTCATTTTCTCTTCGGCGTTTTGACCTTTCTGTTGGTAGACACTCTTTTGGAGGAATGATTGCGTGACAAGCCAGTCACGTCACGTTTAAGTAACATTGTTTTATTACGGGGTGAATTATGATCAATACTAATGTTAGTATTAAGCGATCATCTTTTTTCATTTTTTAAAAATTATCCTGGGGGACACGATTCACAGGACATAACAAAACAGGAAAAAACTGGATAAGTGGGACAAGAAAACATGTTGTTGTTGGTTTAAAATAAAATTAAGTTTCTATCAAGAGCTGTAATGACTACTCGCGATTTACACATCTGTATCTGTGTCCCGGGGGGGTACTCCCATACATTGCCTATACGGGTATGTGCCGCCCAACGGGGTCGTGATTTTGAACCTCCTGATTTAGAACGGGGTATCCATTTCAGAGGCGTTTTCTAGAACGGGGTATGATATTTCGAACGCAAGGAAGCTCCAGTTTTATAAGCAGCCATTTGAATTTATTCAAGGACATATTGTTTTCAAACTTTCTAAAACGGAGTCTAAAGAACTGAAACTATAAACTGCAAAGGGCCACCAACAATAGAGCTGCTAGGAATTTCTAGAACGGGGTGTTAGTTTTAGGGCGAATTCCAGAACGGAGTATCAATTTTAGGGCAATCTTTTTTTTAGAACGGAGTGCCAATTTGGAGTCCCGGGCGGCACATACCCGCCCAAAAAATACCCAAGTGCCCCCGATCTGTGTATAGCTTTCTGTAAATTACATTTTGAAGCCAAATGATGGTTAAATACGCTATTCGTATAAATCCTTGATGAATAAATCAGTTTTCACCTAAAGTGCGACGTATATGCCCTCTTCCGCGAAATCGTTATGTACTACTAAGATTTTAAGGCTTGTTTTGGAGAAATTAATAATGTACACGGTTTTAAAATAAGCTGCTCTAGTTACCTCGTTGAACATTTGGTCCCTCAAATTAATTTTCTAGTTATTGACGTGTGAGCCCGGCCATGTCTGACAGGATGTCTGGCTAAAAGTAGCACCATTATTTACGTAGGCACAAAGACTGCTGTTTGTTGCAAATCAACACTATGAAGTATAGATAAGACACGTCAATGCGTCTAGACTATATTGTCTAGACTGATAAAGCTCTTTTGCTGTGTGGTTTTTATTTTTTTATTTTTTTTATTTTTATTTTTATGATTTTATTTTCATTTTTAAGAACCCTCGACATATTACCCTCGACCCTCGACTTTGTACCCTCGACCCTCGACCAAAACCCAAACTCCGTTACCTAAGCGTTACTATAGTCACGCTATATCCTGTAAGACACGATCGGTACATGATTGTAAAAGTACATTCCTATGTAAAAGTAGTATTACTGATTCCTAGTATTGTATTGTGAATATAACTTGTTGATTCTTTAATAAAATTCAGTTGAGCAATAGCAATGAGAGGAGTAACTTGACTGAGTCGAGACGACACAACATACTGGCGACGAGGATTAAAAGCCAATAACGTACTCCTTGAGCTAGATGGAACGGACGGGACTTTCTACGCCACAGCCGTTCAACATCGACACAGCCATTCAACATCGACACAGCCGTTCAACATCGACACAGCCGTTCAACATCGACGCAGCCGACTTGTATTGCGAATAGCAGCACTGGGTGAGTTCCTTTGATATATACTCAGTGGCTTCCGAGCTCTCCGACAAGGACGACAAAGTCCAGCGAGCGACCTTCCTGCACTGCCTTGGGCCCGCTGTGCAAAGGATCTTCAGAACCGTGCCTGGCGACCATAAAAAACTTGAAGATGCGAAACTAGCTCTTCAAAACTAGTTTGCGCCAAAACGAAACGTGGTGTCTGAAAGGTACAAGTTCCGATCCAGGGAACAGAGGCCAGACGAGCCGATAGATAGCTACCTTACAGCACTCAGAGAACTTGCGAAATCGTGCGAGTTTGGCACTCTCGAAGAAGAGATGATAAAGGACCAGATCGTTGAAAAGTGCGCGTCGAAAAGCCTTCGACAAAAGTTACTGACTCAAGACGATCTGGACCTGACGAAAACGATGAAAGTGGCCAGGAGCGAAGAATCGTCAAGGAAAGATGCCAGCATGATTACAAAGGGCACAAAGGAAGACCACATACCAGTCGACAAAGTCAACGCCAAAAAGCCTACCGATGGAGCGGACGAAAAAAGGTTCATCTGTTACAGATGTGGCGGATTGGATGGTCACAGTCCTAACGAATGCGGTGCGATCAACTCGAGATGCAATTCCTGCAAGAAAGTGGGTCATCTTGCCCGGGTCTGCAAATCAAGCAAGCAAGATCAGAAAGCAAACCGGAAACAAGGGAAAAAGTCACGAAAGAACCCCAAGAAGACGGACAGGAAAGTTCGAAACCTCAAAGCGGCAGAATGGTTCAGTGAGGAAAGCAGGGACGAGAATGAGCCTGTATTCTCAATGAACAATGAGGACAGTTCAGTCCAAGTGAAAATGGACGGACAAAAGATCCGCATGATAGTAGACACCGGATGTAAGTACAATATTATCTCGTCACAATTGTACAATGCTAAATTTAAGTCTCCTGAACTCAGACCAAGCAAAAAGCGATTTATTGCTTATGGACAGAAAGATCCATTAAATTGCAAAGGCTATTTTACTGCCACTATCAAAGTAGGAAAGAAAGAAATAAGAGCAAATGTATATGTTACACAAGGGCATTCAGAGTCACTCCTTGGGAGGGATTCAAGTTTCAATTTAGAGATAATTAGTGTAAACCTCGTTCAAGACAAGCCAAGTTTTCCTAAGACTAGTGAAAATAGTGAATTAGATTCTTTACTACGTGAATTTGACGAAATATTTCATGGGATAGGTAAAGTGGCCAACTTTGAGCACAAAATTGCTATTGACTCTAGAGTCAAACCTGTTAGTCAACGATTAAGGCGTATACCATTTAGCCAAATTGAAGCAGTTAACAACAAGCTAGATAAGATGCTCGAAAATAACATCATTGAGGAGGTCACAGGGGTCTGCCTAATGTGCGAGCCAGCGAGTCATGCGAGTCACTGTGCGAGCCATGCGAGTCATGCGAGCCAGGTTGCGAGCCATGCGAGTCATGCGAGCCATGAAAAATGAAAAATAAAAATATATCAAATAAAAAATTAACATGTATGTAAAATATATCGCACAATACTACTTACTCATGAGTCCATGCGCCATTTTTGATTGTTTTCAAACCCAGTTTCTCTCGGACAGAAGTATATATTAGAGCCCATTCCTTTACCGCGTTCTTCCTTGGCACGTTACCAAAGAGGTGCAGTGGGTTTTTTTCCTTCCAGTCGGAACAAATTATCAGGAGAGGTAGAAAGTACTTTTTTTTGGCGTTTACTTCTGAAATCATTCAAGTGAGGTAAGTGAGATTCGGATATATGTATTTTTAATGTATTAGTTCCATTTCTTGAACATTTTCAGCACAGCCTCAGACGAGGTTAACATTGCGAAATGTAAAAGTATTTTTTTGTCAACAGTAAATTTTACTTTTTCGGGTTTGTTAGAAAATGGAAATTGAAATGGAACTTCGGCAGAGGATAGAAGAAGAAGGATTTGAAATTGCTTTTAATCCTCCCGGTGATGGAAGCTGTTTCTATCGGGCTGCAGCGTTTCAACTGGGACTTAAGTCGGAGATCTTGCACAACCTCATTTTTAATTATCTGGGAAACCATTAGTTTGACGTAAGTTATTTAACCGTAGTATAAGTGACTACGTGACCGACAACAGATGATGACATAAGCGACGCCCGGTTAATAAGAGTATTAAAAACAAACGGAATGAAATGAAATATTTTTCTTGTACTTAGTTTTTACATCATTTTCCTTAATTGAGCCCTAATCCAAGTCTTTTTTTTTTTCATTGTACACTAGGGCTCATTATTTTTCCTTAACGTGTATTTATTTTTAAGCCTAATTTTCCTTGCCTCCCAGTTCAGAGGTTCAATTTAAACGAGCTGCATGTGTATTTGTCACAATGTTCGTAACAGAGCATCTGAAAAGCAACGTTTTGGGCATCACACTTTTCTCACTGCGCACACTGAAAGACTATTGGGCAGACATTTTTTTTTAGGAAAAATGAATAGTTTAAAGTTTTGAAACCACCTGAAAAGCCGTCTCTTGTACGAGGTTTTGTGACTTTTTTTTTTTTTTTTTTTTTTTTTTCATAATAGGACCAGGGAAATGACCGCTTGGCTTTCTTGTGTGACGTCGATATGGGTGGTGAAAAGGTGCCTGCTGTGTGGTCAGAAGCGTTGAAGATCCTGGAAAAGAATTATGCTAATTCTTTAGTGATTAGCGCCTTTGCAAATGTGATGCACTACAAGATCATGATTATTACAGTGCATGGGGTAAATAACTGTTGTCATCCAATGTTTCACGTTTGTTTCCATTGCTTTCAGAAAACGAAATTAAGTTTTTAACTAAGGAGTAATAAATTGTTTTCTTTACATTTTATTTTACAGGATGACAATTTCGTTAAAGTTGTGGAGCCTCAGTTGGGTCCCTCAGTTGGCACTCTTTACTTCGGACACAGTGGTAATCACTACGTCCCATTGAAGCTCAAGCAAAGGGTGGGATTGGTTACTTCCATGTGCTATACATAATGTAAACAGATATGCCTGGGTTCGTTTCACAACTTGGGCACATGTTCATATTTGACCTGTGATACGCAATTTCTGACAAACAAATAATCAATCAGTCAGGCTAACATTGCAACTAACTCACTAAGATCTGTTTAAATTTCATACAGTTTTTTGGTCCCTTGGTTATATTCAGGACGTCACAGTATTGCTGACTTACTCAACCTTCTCACATTTGTTTCAGGCATCAAGCTATGCAACGGCGGCGAGATCTTCCAAGGGAAATTCTGAGCCACGTACTCGTAGTTTTTCCCCTAAAATCAAAGAGGAACAAAGTGCTCAAGAAATTAAAACATCCTCCGGTAAAACTTTCAAAGCTAAAAGGACAACGACAACAAAGGTACAATTTTAACGGGGTGACTCATCTAGTTCTAACCACGTAATCGTTTTGGTTCTGCCTTTTTTTTTGGTGGAAGTGGGAAGAGGCGAGGCGGAGATAAAATAAACGTCATTAGCGGTAGATACACCAAGAAACTCATTCTGTTGTGTCTAATTTCAGACACCCAAAGGACGAAAAAATCAAGAGATGGAATGGTGGGAATCCACAGAAGAATAAAACCCCGGGACGAGTTTATGGAGAGGACGAAAAATATCCGATGACACATCCTCTTATGGATCGGATCTTGAAATAATTGAAGAAAAGGAAACTCCAAAAGACAAGTCATTAAAGGTATGTAGGAGGAATTTATTCGCGTTTTTAACTAGAAGATACAGAACTTCAACACTTTACCTATACAGGCCTTGCATTTTTTTAATTTAGAAGAGCAAGCAGGAAATTAAGACGACGGTTGCAGATATTAGTGATCAGAGTGTGGTTGAAATAAGCTCCGACGATGGCATGGAGGTCGATTCGCCCTTAAACAACCCACCCGGAAAAGACAGCGTATTTCATCAGTAAGTGATTGTATACTGACTGACGAAACTGAACACAGAACAAAACGACTGTCCCAATATTCTTCCTCCTTGATTCCTACATCGCCTAGGTGATCACTAATTTACGTTGCACCCTCTTACCCAGAACCTATTTGCACAATCCTGCGCGCCGAAGAACACTGGTCAATGTTTAAGAAAATTAGGCAACCCATCGATCTGAAAAATTTGGTTGTCACGTGACTGTTCCTACGTCCGTCTGTTGGTCCGTACGGCCATCCCCATACCTTCAAAAATAATAGAGTAGCAAGCACCATTACTGTAGGCACCTCTGTGGACATCCATGTTACAATTAATTGATAGCTGACCAGTATCACGTAATGATCACAATTGATCGTTTTTTCAGTTTCTTATCCAAGAAAAAAAATCCTCTTTTCCCGTTATGGTTAATTATTGAAATAAGTAGCTCTGCTTTTATTAGTAGCTTGAAGCCGTGCATGGAAAGGAAATTTAGAAATCAACGTCAATGCGTTTATTTGTCCGCTAAGATTGCAGAATTTTTAGACACACAAAAATATATCTGAACCAAAGAATGTTGTGTAGATATCATTTGTAAAAAGTCATTGTTGTAGGTTCTTTTTAGGCTCGATTACCAGCCGCTGTTGGAGAGAGCGGCAGAAATCGACCTTAATTTTTTTTTTTTTTTAATATAACAGGATGACAGCATCGAAGAATTAATCGCCAGTGTAAGTGGACTAAGTTCCAATGACAACACGCCTCAAAAGCCACGTCTACCAGCAGTTAAAAGACCCAAAGAGGACGCCCAGAGGTCACCCGCAAAGCAGAAGCTATTTGATGAAGAGTACGTAATCATTCTTTTATTGATGTAATAGAGTGTTGGGTTTAGGTGAATGGTTTTCTGTTTTGATAAAAATGTGCACAGAATGGAATACAAAAAACTAATTAGTTATAAACGTCAAGGGAGTAAAAACAGGGAAATTCCCTCGAGATCATTACAAGTGCACATGAAAATAAACGTCTCTTTTGTTGTTTGGGAGGGGTAGACTAGATGGCGGCATGCAGATGTGTTAGTGGGGGTTATTATGATACGATATGAAAATAGCCGTGGTGTTTTATCAAAAGTCTATGCTTCTTAAGCAGTTTTCTTCCTGAAGCGTTAACGACCTTTTGCATTTATTGGTAGAGATAGCGATAGCAATGGGGACATCAGCGTTTTAAGAAAGGGACGTAGACTGTATGCCAACCAAGACGAAATTGACAAACTCAAGCCAGTTCAGGTGAAGAAGGTTCCTCTGGCTCCTCAAGGTCCTGTAAAGTATGAAGTGCAATACAATGATGCGGACCCTTTGTCAGTGGTTGTAGACAACTGGAAGTGGGGTAGAGCACAACCATGCAAAAGAGCGGGATTTTGCAAGGGTGGTAGAAGGACGCTTCAATTGTGTCTCGGTTCGCTAGAATGCGCAAACAAGAAGTGCGCATATTTAAAAATTCATAAGTCTCCAAACAAAGTCGATTTTAATCGATCAAAACGTTGCGTTCACTGTCACAGTGAAGCCATTAAAAAGCATTGTTCAGCAAGAAAATATGTTGAAAACGACCGGTGCCACAAAAAAATGACAGTAATCTACTTACAGGAACACGATTGCTCTCCAAAGCAAGAAGAAGATAAGCCGTCTAAAGAGGAAGTAGAAAACATTCTCCGTATAAAACCTACTAAATCAGCAGGTCAACTACAGTTGGACGTTGTACGCGAGGCCTTACTTAGTGGTAAAGAAGTAGACGAGGTGAACGAGATAGCTTTAAGATACAGCAACAAAAAACATCTTCAGTATATACAGAGTACCATTAACAAGAAAAAGAGACCTGGAGGATCGGAGATAGAAGCTGTTCAATTGCTTAAGGACGATTTTCTTGCCAGGAAATTAGATGAAAACTTAATTATGTGTGTTGGCGACGATTATGTCATTCTTTCGTCTGAGCATAAGGTGCGATTAGGTGCACTCATTACTCTTGGCATTGTTGACGAACCAGTAAGCCTCGATGGCTGTGAAAGCCGCGCGCAACACTACACAGAAATTGAGATGACCACTTACGACCCCATCTTGAGACGCAATGTCAAATTAGTCAGTATGTTTGCAGCCAAACCAGGTGAAAATTCAGATAACGTAAAAAAAATGGTGCAGTCTTTTGATGCGGCCGTTAACAATGTTCTCCCAAAAGTGGCTGGCCAATATAATGTAGATAATGAAGACGTCTTAGGACGGGGATTAGATCCAAAATCATACGTCGGTGATGAAGGTGGTGCTCTGTGGCGTGGTCTCTGCTTGGTAAAGGGGGAAGACGTAAAAAACAAGACCATTTCAGACTTTTTCCATTTCAAACAAGACATCAACCGTAATTCCGTTTATTTTGGCGACCAAAAAAGTAAAAAGGAATTCAAATCAATCATGATGGATGCGTATAATTCTCCTACCTCTTTGCAGGCAGTAGATGCGGAAAAAAAGACTTGTAAAACTTATTGAAAAAAATCAACAAATGTAAAAAAAATGAATTCTTTTAAGGCATGGTGGTGGCGAAGAAAAGCGCGTTGGCAAAAATGGTGCCGCACACAGTCATCGAGCGAAGCATCCTCTGCGGAGGTGGCAAATGTAAAATCTTTGCACGCGTCCGGATATAGGAAAAGTCTGCTGGACGTGGTAACCGCGGAATGCGCAAGCGCTGTTTTGGAGGGTGCAGAAAACAAGAGACAATCCCTTGGCCTAAAGACAGTAAGTCGTGGCCCTTCCGCGGCAGACCGCTCTGATAAGCAATCCCTTAGTATGGCCAGAGCGAGGGAAGCGTCGGCCGACGCAATTCAACAAATCGCAGAGAAGGCAGAGGTTATAATTGATGATGACTTTGCATTGGAAACTGACGACGTCGAAAATGCACAGCAGCAGTTTAAAATCAACACAAAAGACACTCACAGGGCGGACAAAAAAAATCAAACAAAACAAAAAAGTAAACAAGTTAAGAAAGTGAAAGATGGGCACGTGACCAAAAAACAAAAGAAATTATTCCACGACAAGGTTGAAGGAGTTCACATGGACCTACTTCATTGTGATTCCTCTATGACCGAATTCACGTTCAAAGTGCTTGATACAATGGGGTATCTCGAAGAGATTTGCATCAGAAAGGAATCTGCCATCTGCTCATCTGTCTGGTGCAAAAAGGAATGTCACCACCTGATGTGGATTTTCCACAATTTGTTCAACTTTGATAAAGAGCAGCCGATTATGTACCAGTCAAAATTCACTGATCAACAGTGGAAACAAATAATTGAGGCATTCCCAGAAAACGTCCCACTGCCTAAAGTGACTTGTCCTTCAGAGGATGAGCAACAATATACGATAAACAAAAGAACATCTAAAAAGGACGCTAAACGCGCCACCTGTAAAAAAGAATTATCAGAGGGTAATATCCAAGCCACAACAGAAGGCCCTTACAGGACAATACAGAAGTCCTGGATTAAAAGAACATTCTTCTTTTGCCCTCGTTTGCAGTGCATGGGAAAATTGCCGAGGAATTCTTTTATTTGCCCATATAAAACTGGAATGACACTGTTAATCGAAACACCTTTGACTGAACAGCAAAAGAAAGAAATAGACTTGAAAACTTGACTTATTTAACTAAAATATCACCCGCTGCTCTCAAAAACATCATCACGGACGGTGGGCTGATCGTTTGTCAGTTTACATGTTCAAAAACATCTCAGTAAAATGGCACCTGTTGCATTTGCGAAGTGATCTTTTTATGCCTATCTACTATTAACTTTTCAAACGAGATATTTCAACTCTGCAAAGCAAGACTCTCACCTTGCAATTGTTAGTAACCAGCTAAGTAAAATAAACCTAGAAAATCAAAACAGTCAAGAGAGTAAGTCAGTTCGAGTTATACCATGGATTCCCGATTTCTTGAACCTCCCAGACAAACAAAAAATGGTTCCAGAAATATCTGGATGAGGTAAATTTCTCCTTTCTTTGTTTGCCTCTGTTTTGCTAATTGGACATAAAGATTGCTCAAATAACAGAAGGTATTATGAAATCGGCGGTTCCAAAAAATCTGGATTATACTGTAATTTTCCATATTGTAGGGAAATTGTGAGCAGCAGCACCAACAATAATAACAAGAACAAAAAACAACAACAAAAACATCTCTGTCTCTAAAGACTACAAAGAATGCGTGACTTCGATAGTGTTACGTAATCTATACAGTACTGATGTTATCTGAACATTGATAAATCGTTTTACTACCAAGACGCATCTTCGAAGGTATTTTTCTTCGACATTTTCTCTCCTTTCAAAACATAATATAACAGATCTTAAAATAAATAATTAAACAAATAAATAGCACGAGATAAATACAGTTACATCACGTTTTAGAATCATCTATGAAATTAAAACCGTCGCTACATGTCGCTAGTGTCACTCGCGTCATGTATCATTTAATATACAGCGTTATGTAATTTTTTCTTACGTTTAAATTGTGGCTCGCATGGTTCGCATGGTTTTTCTTACGTAAAAACCGTGGCTCGCACCTTGGCTCGCACCTTGGCTCGCATGGTTCGCATGTTTTTTCTTACGTTAAAACCGTGACTCGCATGACTCGCTGGCTCGCATATTAGTAAGACTCAGGTCACAGAGGCCAGCCCATGGGTCTCTAATTTAGCAATCGTCCCAAAGAAATCGGGGGAAATAAGAGTGTGTTGTGACCTCAGGGAAGTAAATAAGGCTGTAATTAGGGAACGACACCTATTACCTAAGGTAGATGACACTTTGCAAGCTATGCACGGTTCGAAGTATTTTGCAAAAATCGATGCGAAGAGTGGTTTTTTTCAGCTTACGCTAGCTGAAGAGTCGCGGTACATCACTACCTTCATCACGCCTCGTGGTTGTTTTAGGTTTAAGAGTACTCCCTTCGGTCTTAGTGATGCAAGCGAAGCTTTCCAAAAGATGATGGAACAAATTTTGTTCGGAATCGACGGAGTTCAAATCTCTATCGACGATGTCATCGTGCACGCTGTGACAATGGAAGAACTCATTAACCGGCTCCGTAAAGTTTTCGAGAGATGTCGTGCGAACTACTTAAGGCTAAATCAAAGCAAGTGTGAATTCGGCGTTAGGCCATGTAGTATCTGCCGATGGTATTAAGCCGGATCCGATAAAGTGCGAAGCAGTAAAAGCTACACCACCGCCAAAGAATGTATCAGATCTTAAGTCATTTCTTGGAACGTGCGGTTATGCTTTTCTTACGTAAAAACCGTGGCTCGCACCTTGGCTCGCATGGCTCGCATGTTTTTTCTTACGTTAAAACCGTGGCTCGCATGACTCGCATGGCTCGCATCGTGACTCGCATGACTCGCTGGCTCGCATATTAGTAGGACTCAGGTCACAGAGGCCAGCCCATGGGTCTCTAATTTAGTAATCGTCCCAAAGAAATCGGGGGAAATAAGAGTGTGTTGTGACCTCAGAGAAGTAAATAAGGCTGTAATTAGGGAACGACACCTATTACCTAAGGTAGATGACACTTTGCAAGCTATGCACGGTTCGAAGTATTTTGCAAAAATCGATGCGAAGAGTGGTTTTTTTCAGCTTACGCTAGCTGAAGAGTCGCGGTACATCACTACCTTCATCACGCCTCGTGGTTGTTTTAGGTTTAAGCGTACTCCCTTCGGTCTTAGTGATGCAAGCGAAGCTTTCCAAACACGGAATCAAACATGTTCAGAATCGACGGAGTTCAAATCTCTATCGACGATGTCATCGTGCACGCTGTGACAATGGAAGAACTCATTAACCGGCTCCGTAAAGTTTTCGAGAGATGTCGTGCGAACTACTTAAGGCTAAATCAAAGCAAGTGTGAATTCGGCGTTACCAAGATTTCGGCGTTAGGCCATGTAGTATCTGCCGATGGTATTAAGCCGGATCCGATAAAGTGCGAAGCAGTAAAAGCTACACCACCGCCAAAGAATGTATCAGATCTTAAGTCATTTCTTGGAACGTGCGGTTATGTTTCCAAATTCATACCGAATTACGCGAACATCGTGAAACCTTTGCGAAAGTTAACTCGGAGCGAAGTAAAATTTTCGTGGGGAAAGGAGCAAAAAGAGGCATTTGAAGCCCTTAAGGACGCGTTGTCTTGCGAGCTCGTTCTCGCATGCTTTCGCTTAAACTCTCCCACGTATTTGATCACCGATGCTAGTCCAGTACGTTTAGGAGCAATCCTGCTTCAAGACCAAACTAACGGCGAGCGAAAACCAATCGCCTACATAAGTCGATCACTTACGCCTACCGAACGAAGATATTCGCAAATCGAACGCGAAGCGCTTGGATGCGTATGGGCAGTCGAACGCCTACACAATTATTTGTTCGGAATCAATTTTACGCTACTTACTGACAACAAACCTCTGTCCAGCATGTTTGATCCGGCTATGTCCTGGTGTACCGGTTAACCAAAATATGTCCTGGTGTGCCGGTTAACGAAACTTGCGTGACATTGGTCAATCGAATAATAGCGTGACAGCTAGATAATTTGATAAATAATGAATGCTTTGATAATAAAATACAATAAAATGCCGGCATTGGTTCATTGTTGGGTTATTTGAGTCGTTTGGATCTTTTGGATCAGTTGGGTCATTCGGGCCAGTTGGGTCACTTGGGGCCAGTTGGATCAATTGGGCCAGTTGGGCCATTATGAAATCCGAGAAGGCCCTGAAACGGGAAAGGGCTCTGTTGGGCCCAAGCCTCTCTGAAAAGCCTCGTTTAGAAGTTATTAGATGGCGGAGTGATTTATCCGCGTGTGGCGATGAAGATAACTCAGGAATTGCTTAGCTATGTTCAGCATAATGTTAAAAAATATGAAGATCACTTACTTCAGGACGGAAAGGTGGATGGACCTGCAATTATTGAGCCAGGGCAGCAGTTAAACCCAGACTTCCGTAGTCCTCCTGACGTTGGCGACTATGTGCTTCCCAGAGTCATCATCTGGGATCCATTGCAGCAGCAGCAGCATTGTTTCGATACTGGATTCACATGCCCCCATTATGAGCACGGCCATCTGAATAGTATACTTACTCCCTGTAAGTGGAAAGATGGAAGGAGCGAGCGAGATTTGCCACGCCAAATTTATTGTGTAAATGGCCCCGTGTTGCTTGTAAGCCGTGTGTATCGATGCACTGAAGGACACGAAATCGCTGGTCATGACCCCAGAATACTAGAGAGCATACCATCAGGTGATCTTAAATTTCATCTCGGCCATAAGTTAGGATTCACTCCTGAACTTTGCTCTTTAGTGTTTGCATTAGCTTCAAGTGGACAGCCATTTCATGAAATTGAACTGTTTCTAGCGCAAAGATACGTGGACAACTTTGCGGAAAGACAGTGTAGGTATGCCAGACACATCTCTACATATTTGGAGAAAAATGAGTCTCAAGACAAAGACAAACTTCAAAAATTCCCGTCTTTTGAGGTGTGGAGACCAACGCCGAGCACAGATACAGTTCATCAGTGCTTTCTGTATATCTTTAGAGAGAACAAACAATTTTTTCGGCAAATTATCAGTGAGAAAACTGCTAAATGGATGAGTGCCGACCACACATTCAAAGTTGCTGCAAACATTGGATGCATGCTCCCAAATGGATCTTGGTCTACACAATTTGATTCCTTGTATATAGTTATGAATGAAATTGGCCAGGTGCTCACCTACAAATTGACAAAGGGTACTGCAATAAGTAAGGTACAGGACATATTAAATAATTTAAAGCGTCGATTAGATCAACAGAAAGCATCCTGTGACACAATTTTTGTGGATGACTGCTGCAAGATTCGCAGCAAATTACAGCAGATTTTTCCAAATGTGTTAGTCAAGCTTGACTTGTTTCATGCCATCCAAAGAGTCACCTCAAAAGTGCCCAAGAGCAAACGGCAGTACTTGTCCTCGTCTTTCATAAATGACTTCAAAATGATATTCCGAGCTGATGCAGACCAAGGTGAAATTAGAGAGATGGATACACCAGATGAACAAACTATAATGAGTAACCTTGAATGTCTTACAGAGAGATGGAAAGATGTCCATTATGACAATGGTGAGGCTGTTTTGAATAGAAATGTTTTGCATGAAATCGAAAATTTGAAGGTTCATATTGAAAGAGGCTTTTTGTCAAGGATTTTCCAAGGGGGTGGCTCTACAAGAAATGAAAATCTCCACAAAAATTTGAAGGCTGTGATAGCCCGATCAAGACTAGGTTGTGAATTGGCTGAGGCATTATTGGCAACCTTCTTTTACCTCTGGAATGAGAAAAGAGGTGCATCAGAATTACCATCAGGTTGTGTAAGGCCTATCCTATCCTACAGAGCAGCATTAGATGAACAAGGCTTTGAATCCACAGCTGAAAGGTTTGGCATAATCCCAGAGTCTAGTGATCCTGAGAATGCTAGTGTTCCTAATGTGTATGATCCTGAAGTCATGCAGAGTATTTTGTGTGAAATGTTTGTTAACAGCAGTGCTGAGTATCATGACACAAGCAATGATGGGCTCAGTGACAGTGAGCTTTACATCATTTTTTGTCAGGCTGTGAACATGTCTGTTCTTTATAATCAGCTGTGTTCACTATGTACAAATCCCAGGTTGAGTTCTAAGCTACTCCACTTAATGCCCTGCAGCTTACTTCTGTTCAGTAACTCCACATTCAACACAGAGAAAGTTGCTGAACACTCAGAAAGGCTAAACAAGAATCTATTGGGTTATAGCCTAAAACTTGCTACAGTGGACTATGATTGCCCAGCAAATAGTATTTTTCTCAGTGTTCTTAGTCAGCTGAAAGAAATTTTGGCATCTTCACCCACTCTACAAAAGCACTTGGTTTTCCTTGGAATTTCATTGGCAGACAGTGGTGACATAAAGATTGTCCAAGAATTACGGGATCTTGTGGTGAATGAGTTGCTTAGCAATGCTGGAAGGTACAAGCATGCCCTTCTGTCACCTGAAAAGCATTTTGATGATGAGGTAAACAAATTCAGGGAATGTGATTACTTTTCAAGTAAGTGAAGACATTAATTTGGCATGTTATTACAGTAAAGTTGGGTACATTGAAAAGGTTTCATGAAGTAATACCAAATCCCTTTAAGGTTTTGGTATTATATTGACATCTCTTTTTGTGTACTTCCAAAAAATCTCCAAGGCATTGGAAATTCCTTGAGTTGGAGGGGAAATATAGAAAATGTTTAAAGTGAAATTTGTATTTCTAAATGGGCGGAGTGTTAGAAAAACTTGCTTCTGTTGGGGAGGCATGCATCCTCTTAAAATTCTTCTTTCCTTTTTTGATATATTTGTAAAAGTGGAATAAAAAAAAGAAAAAGGGAAATTTTCTCCTACAGATTTTCAGTATAGTGAATATTTTGCCTGTTTGGGTTTCTCAATAATAAAAAATTTATATTTGGAATGAAAAGTTACATACGGAAGAATAACATAAGAGTAAAATACCCGTTTAAAAAAAACAAAACAAAACAAATAGCAGCAAAGTGGTGTTAATTATAGAGTATTCTATTTCTGGAATTTAAACTTGCACCTTTTGTTTAATCCATAAGGATTGATTTTGCATAGTTAAGCACACCAAAAAGCCTCTCTGAGACTTTCATTTTTTTTCAGATGAGTTGGGGAATGTCATGGGAATTGCACTATCCCAGATTCTGAGACTGAACATAGTCATCTTTACATCACTGGACCACATGCCTGTAGTACCAGTTTCCCCATTGTTGCCTTGCACAGCTACCAAGGCAATTTTTCTGGGATACAGTATTGGTCAACCAGAATTATATCACAATGTGGTATCTTTGGAGAACGTGAATGAAGCTATCCCACCCCATGTTAGTTCCACAAGTACATGTAGCAATAATTCTCCAAAGGAACAGGTGCCTGAGCACTGCTCATGCGGTCGTGGTTCTGCCAAGAAGGATGGAAGAAAATTCTGCTGTCAAGTACCAAATGGTAACAAGAGCCGGTGTAAATGCTACTCTAAAATAGCTGGTTGCTCCCATCGATGTAAATGTGTCGGTTGTGGAAATCCTTATGGCAGCTCCCAGGCTGCCAAGCAGGCATACACACTTGTAACAACTTCAAGGTACCGACCCAAGCAAAAGCTACAAGAGGCCAAAGAGAGCATCTCCAGTCTTGATTATCTGACAAGTCAAGGTTTAACTCCAGTATCTGGATGGTCTGAGATTGAAAGTCTTACATTAGACTGTCTTGTGAACTATGCATCTTTGAAGGGTCTAAGCATTGAACCTTCAAGAGTGTATGAATACTACTCCAAACTTCATGACATTTCAAAAAATCTTGGAAGTCCCTTGCAACCAAAGAAAGCCAAACAAATAGATGGGAAACTCCAAAGCATCAAGAAAGTGGCTAAAGGCTTTGAAGCGCTTTACAAAAAGCAGGTTGAACTGAACTGGTTCTGATTAAACATACTCTTTTGGATACTGTAAGTACCACCTAATGTTAGCCAAATTGAGTTTTTTTAAAACTAATTGGCAGGGAATCAGTATTAGTAACCATTAGGAATAGGGTTCTACAAGCCAGTCAAATGGAAACTTCAACATCTTCCCCCACCACCCACCATCACCCCCAACATAATCTGGGCAGTTGTTTCAGTAGATATAACAAAGTGCACATGATTGAAATGAACGGGAACTTTTATTATTAATTCGGTAATGTAATTATTATCTTTGGGTGTTCAGTTTTTGAAATATGACATCGAAATATACTAATACAATATGAAAGAATCATGAACAAAGTAAATTTTATAAACTATCTTACTCCACAATATTACTTTTGTCTCAATTTGTGATTAAGAAAAATTTTTAATAAATCTATGTAAAAAAATTAATTATGTATCCAATTTGCTATGTTATGTACATCTAATGCAGTCAGGAGACAACAAAAATATAATGATTTACCACATGTTCCTTCTTTACTATCCAAGGAATTTAGTTAATTCAGTTATGTAATTATTTTCTTTGAGCATTCATTTTTTGAAGTATCACATCAAAATATACTAATTTAATAAATTTAAAAGGAATGCAAACTACTTTGATTTTTATATACCATCTTTCTGTGCATAAAATTTTGTTTCAATTTGTGATTGATTTCAACACACCTAATTATATAAAAAATAAAATATGTATGCAATTTGCTATTAATGTTATGTACATATGTTGTAGTCAAGACACAACAAAAATATATCAAAGAGACAAGAAGTACAGTATTAAAAGTTCTACTCTGTTGCCTCTAAGAATGCTAGAATTTCATCCTTTTGTGGATGAGCATTAATGACAGTTTCGTGCATGTCCACTGTGATTTTATTATCTTTTTTTAGAAATGCCTGATGGTACTCTTCTGGTGTCAAACCACAAGCAGCAATTGCATGTGGGCTTACAACTGTTGGAAGCTTTTTGCAGAAGACTACCAACTTATTAATTTTTATGATGGAACCAATTCTAGCTTCCTGTAAGGCTGCCATGGCTTCCTGGGCTGCTTTACTACTGGGTCTTCTAGTAGAAGAATAGCTCCGCACTACTCTTCTTACACACACAAAAGGACCAGGGAGAGACAGAATTCTCTTTTGGATGTCTTCACCCAACACTCCCACTTTGAGTCCTACTGAGGACTTCTGCAGATGGCAAGACTGTAAAACAAACCCATTTGGCTCAAATTAAAATAAACCATAAAGTTTTTATGTTATCAGCAGTCCACTAAATATTGAGTGCATAATGCAAACCATGTATCTTGTAGTTTGAATTGTTTTGTTCTTTTTCCAATCAGTTTGGAATAAAAAATTAAACTTAATTAATTTAATTAATCATGTGATCTTTTGGTTGGGAATGTCATGTAAGTCTTGCATTGCTCATCAGGAGTAATTTAAAATCTACAGATGTAGAGTAAATTTGATGGTGTTAGAACAAAGAAATGCCCCCATTGTCCAGGATATGGTCATTTCCTTTCCAGGTGGGTCACCATAATAGATTATTATAATAATGACAATTATAATAATTATTATTATCATTATTGTTATATTAAACTCACCAGCTCTGAGATTCCCTTCATGGTCTCAAGAGTATCCATGAAAGTTATTGCCATTTGCATGGTTTCTGCTGTGATTGTTGTGGGTGTTGTCCCTGACTCCAAGGCAAGTGCTTTGGTTAGCCGGTGATAAAGGACATGCATATTTAAAGCAACACGTAAAGTGTTTTTATATTTCTTTGAACCTGAAGAAATACTTGGACTGGCAACTGCACCCTGGCTGTCATCTTCATTAGGCTTGCTAAACTTAAAGAAAACTTCCTTAGCAGTGGCAGTCAGCATGTATTTCAGTGCTGGGGTTGTGTTATGTTCTACATATATCTTTTCGAATACATCGCCAAGAGATTTAACAGAAAACTCGTCCAGGGAGTCAGAGTTTTCTGCCATGGCTTCCAGGTCAAGATCTTCTGATCTTCTTTGATAAAAAAACAGCAACCTCTCTGCCAGCCCATTTTTTGAGGCTACAATTTTTGGCCAAACTGACTCCAGGAACTGCTGAGGGGTGGTGAAAGCAAGGAGGGCTAGTTTAGCTGAAGTTACTCCAACTCGCTTGCCTTTTGTCCCTTTTAGTACGTACCAAAAATCTCCATCGTAACATTTACACAGGCGTTCCATTGAGAGGCTTGTCTGTGATGTTGATTTTCCCTGATATGTTAGTCTTTGTAGGAGAGAGTATGCCTCATCCACACAAAGGATTGGCACTGTGGATGCTGCAATAAAATGTACTGAATTGGTTATATTCTGTTTTCCTGGACAACTGATTGTAAATTAGAGCTGAAATTATTTCTAATACTACCCATAATTTCTACCCACTTACCCTTAATTGCAGAGTAAAGGGCCCAGGGGGACCCCCATACAAAACAGACTGGGGTGTTCATTGTCTTGCTTTGGAGTGTAAATTTCAGATGTTTGAGCTTGCTTTGGGTGTTTCCAGGAAAAATGCCAACATATTAAAGACCCTATGGGGGACACGTAAAGAAATGGAAAAAAAATATTGCCTTTTACTTATTTACAACTGAGTCAAGTCCACATTGGTCTCCTTTAGGGGTTTAACTCAATATTTTCAGTAAGCAACCCTGTCTGTTTCACATGGGAGCCCCTCAGCTTAGCCCCAAGAATGGAGGGCACAAGATCAGTAGTCCTTCTAGAGAATCATTTAATCCTTTACACCCTAGCATTGACAGGAATATTCTCCACAGTGTTCTTAATACATTTCATATGGTGTTGACAGGGACAATTTTTTAACAGTCAAGAGCTTCTTTACTTAGTGATCATTTCATTTTTTCTCATGATCTTCATTTGATTCAGGAATGATATTGTGAGGAGAAATTAAATGCTAGTCACTCTTAGGGGTTAAAGGGTTAAAGAAAATTTCTCAAATTCATTAAATTATTTATCAGGAATTTTTTCCTTCAGTGATTCATTAAGTCTTATAATATTAGCTGAAGCTTACTACACTCCAAGGATAATAATCAATGCTAGGAGCTCCTGTCGATGTCAAATAAAAACTAACCTCCCAGGAAATGGTTAAATAGGCCGCTTGATGATGTTTCATCAATCACAATGCTGGTCTGTATTTTCTCCTCGACATGGCCCACGATTGGCTCCACGCATCCTTTCTGGCACGCCGGTGTTTTCCCCGTTCCAGAAGGGGCAGTAGCGATCAGATGAAGGTTTGCCTTCTCCTCGTAGGAACCAAAAAGCTTCAGTGTTGTCTGACCGAGCAAAGAGCTCGTAGACACCAGAGCTGAACAAAGTAGCATCTCGCTCGTTGTGCCATTGCTACAAGCGAACGCCGTCAGCCATTGACGAAGGCGTTGGGGTACAACTTCTTCAATAGAAAGAATAATTTGGTCCAGCTGAGATTCCAGTTCCGCGGTAGATGTGACATTACTCTGAGTGTCCATGATATGTCGAATATCGAAAAACTAACTACGTAACTTTTGTGAGCACCTTCTTTGATGGCGGGAAAAGCTAGAATGAACTAACAGGCGCCTAGGTCAGCGTTTGTATTTTAGCAATTGTGGCGGGAAATCGGCGATTAAAATTTCACCTGGTTTATAGATAACTGATGACCCAACTGGCCCAAGTGGCCCAAGTGACCCAACTGGCCCAAGTGGCCCAAGTGACCCAACTGGCCCAACTGGCCCAACTGGCCCAACTGGCCCAACTGGCCCAACTGGCCCAACTGGCCCAACTGGCCCAACTGGCCCAACTGGCCCAACTGGCCCAACTGGCCCAACTGGCCCAAGTGACCCAACTGGCCTGAATGACCCAGCTGATCCAAAAGATCCAAACGACTCAAATAACCCAAATAACCCAACAATGAACCAATGCCGGCATTTTATTGCATTTTATTATCAAAGCATCAATTATTTATCAAATTATCTAGCTGTCACGCTATTATTCGATTGACCAATGTCACGCAAGTTTCGTCAACCGGCACACCAGGACATATTTTGGTTAACCGGTACACCAGGATAAAGCCTTTGATCCGCAGTCCAGCAAATTCCTACCACCACGAATTCAACGTTTGGCCTGGAGATTGCATCAGTACAATTTCCATATACAACACGTATCGGGAAAGGACAACACTGCAGATTCACTGTCTCGACTTCCCTCGAAGTGTGAAAACTACACCGATAGCGGAACTGTTTGCGAGAATTATGTTAGGTTTGCTTATGATACCAACATGTTAGACCTGCAATCTGTCACTCTTGCCGAGATGAGCCGCGAAACACGCAGAGATGACACTTTGTCCAAATTAATCGAGCATATTCAAGATGGCAAGTGGTCGCGCGACGAAAAACTGAAACCGTTTAAAGCAGTTAAGGATGAATTATCTGTTTATGAAGGAGTTATTCTCAGAGGAAATCGAAGGTGCACATACTGCGACAAATCACCTCTCGTGAGGTCATTCGAGTTCTGACAGATATTTTTGCCAGATTTGGTTTTCCAGAAGAGTTGGTTTCTGATAATGGTAAACAATTTGTAAGCGCAGAATTTGAAAACGTTCTGAAAACGTGCGGTATCAAGCATACTCGTGTTTCGCCGTATTTTATCACGACAAGAAAAATAACGCAACGCCGCACAACTTCAAAATCGGCGATATCGTATTTTGCGCAAACATGAAGCCAGCAAAGTTAGATTCTCAATTTCACCCGGCTAAGCATGTTATCATTCAGTCCCAGGGGAGAGACACTTTTACCTTGGTCAACGCAGCAACTGGTACCACTCTTATTCGAAATGCAAAATACTTGAAGCGCGCACCCACAAATGAGAATGAAGAAATCGTAGATACTAGCAACGACGAACAAAGTAATGGGTCCAGTAGTTCTAGTGATTCAGCGAATGTTGAATCTAGTAAGACCATTCACAAACATTCTGACGCTTGTATTGAAAGCGATCATTCCGATGATCAGGCCTCTCAGAATAAAGGCAATGTCACGACTAGGTCCGGACGTGTAGTGAAGTCTACACCAGTTAACGAGAACTTCGTATATTATTAGCTGATTAAAATAGTTTAAAATGATTATCTTTAATTAACTTTAAAATAGAAACCTTTGAACTTTGTCCGGGAAGGATGTAGTGTATTGCGTTACCTAAGCGTTACTATAGTCACGCTATATCCTGTAAGACACGATCGGTACATGATTGTAAAAGTACATTCCTATGTAAAAGTAGTATTACCGATTCCTAGTATTGTATTGTGAATATAGCTTGTTGATTCTTTAATAAAATTTAGTTGAGCAATAGCAATGAGAGGAGTAACTTGACTGAGTCTAGACGACACAACAGCAGTTACAACATATATCAAGAAGAAGGAATAACATCTTCATAATAGGTGATTTAAACCCTGATGTTTCATCAAAACCATCTGAAAATGGAAGCAAACTAAAGCAAATCTTGAGAAAGCATGGGCTATCAAATGTCATCAAAGACTATAAGAGTAACTGAAACTTCTAGAAGTACTATTGACCTATCTATCACAAGCAAGAAATGTAAAATCAAAACTGCTGGAGTTTTTGATATTGGAATAGCTGATCACAGATTAAATTATGCAGTCCTAAGATTATTTCACCAAAAACCTCCTCCAGTGATAAGAGAAGTGACAGACTGTAAAAACATCAATATTGAGAGCTTCAAAGAATCCTTGTCTCAAGTACCCTGGCATGTGCGTAATACCTTCGATGAGGTAGACGATAACTACTGGTTATTACAATACATGTACAATGAAATTGCGTATGAACACTTGAAGGAAAGGAAAGCAAAAGTAAGAATTAATTCTCTTCCATGGATAAATGGGGAAATAAGAAAACTTATGAATAAACGATATAAACAACTCCGCAAAGCTCAAACTGCAAATTCTCCTGGACTGGAAGTTGTACAGAGATCTTAGAAATGAAGTACACAGAAAACTAAAGAAAGCTGAATCCATGCATTATCTTGAGGCTCTTGAGAATACAAGAAATGGAAGTACAGACTTTTGGAACTAAATCAAGAAAATCAATAAAAAGAAGCAATCACTAAAAAAAACTGGCCCTATTAAGAATGAAGTGAGAACACTAATATTTAATGACACTGAGAGGGCTGATACATTAAACCAATTCTTTTCCACAATTGGTGAAAACCTTGCATCCAACCAAGAAGGAAATGTAAATCCTTTGTCTTATATCCATAGAGTGACATCTGTAATAGGCGATGTTGATTTTCCAGTAGAAGCCTTTTCAAGAAAGTTAAAATCGATTAACCCCAAGAAAGCACATATTGCTGACAACTGGTCAGCAAAAGAAATAAAAATTGCTGCAGAAGAAGTATGTAACTGCTTAACAAATATTAGCAAGCTAAGCTTTCAGCAAGGATCTTGCCTCTTGCCCTCCTTAATAGAAATTGGTAAAGTAAAGGCTCTCTGGAAATCAGATAACAAACAAGATTGCTCAAATTACAGAGCAGTCACACTTCTATGAATCCAAAGTAAGATCACAGAATCAGTTATTTGTGATAGCATCGATGATCATCTAGACAAAGTAATAAAAAGAAATCAGTGGGGTTTCAGAAAAGGTTTCTCCACAAACTCCCTATTGCTAGATATTATAGAGATGTGGAAAAGAAATCTGGATAAAAGAAATGTGGTTTGTACAGTTCTCAATGGATCATTCAATTTTGAGTTACAAGATGGATGCTCGCGGTTTACATGGTAAATTGAAAGACTGGATTCAAAGTTACCTCGTTGATCGAAAACAATTTGTTGTAGTGTGGGAAAAGATCTGGCCTTCAAATACTGCCCTATGGTGTCCCACAGGGATCCCTCTTGGGACCAAAGCTATTTCCGATCTTAGTAAATGACTTACCTGACTGTATATCAAATGGTGAAATCCACCTCTATGCTGATGACACGACAGCATTCGTTATTGGAAAGAATGAAGATGAGGTAGTACCTCTACTTAACATTATATTCTCAGAAATTAGCAAATAGTGTAATAGAAACAACCTCACAATTCATCCAACTAAATGCAAAGTCATGCTAATCTCAAGAAAGAGCTTCACTGGCCCATTGAAACCTGTCAAATGGGGAAACAAATGTCTAGAGTATACGGATAAAGTAAAAGTACTTGGAATATATATTGACAACAAACTGACTTGGAAAATACATATCAAAGAGGTAACTTAATCATTTAATGCACAGTTAAAGTCTCTTAAAAGAATATCCTATCTGTCAACAAAGAAATTGGAAAGTATCTATTTTAAGTTGATTATACCGCACATTAATTACTGTATATCTGTATGGGGAAACTGTTCAACCTCTCCTTCTGAAACCAATGAAGCATTGCATGTAAAAGCTGCGAGATTAATCCAAAGACTTCCTTCTTCTTTAGAAGATCATGATGTAACAAAGCGTGGCAGAACATTCGCAATATCTGTAAAGAGACTTGCTTTAGAAATATTTCAAATTATGAACTTTGATGGATGTCTCACATTATCTCATATGTTCAAACAAGTAAACTCTCTTAGAAAAGGCAAACTAATCGAAATGAAAACAACAACTTCAGAGTTTGGAAGACAATCCTTGTAAATGCGTGACTTTAGACTTGCGTGACATTTGTGTTACAGTTGGCCTTTGTGCCATAGTCTTTCTCTCCTGCTGATTTTCAGTTGTTGCATCGTACGATCTTTCACTATTCACTATTCATGTTCGGCGTTAATCCCAAGTTAATATCTTAAGTTTGGTTTCAAGCCACCGGCGTATAGGGACTGATATGTAAGTTGTATTCGCTTGTTTTCACTTTTGTAGCTTGCCCCATTTATGCAAGGTAGCGTTTCTCTTGCTATGATCTTATGCCTTTGTGTGTGTGTTATTTAGTCACCGCCTTCGTATCGTTAGGCGGCTATTTCTAGTTATAATTTTCCTTCATCTCGTTCCGAGCAAGCTCTTTCGTCTTTATTTTGTATATATATTTTGTGTTTACCGCGGCACTTGGTTCATTTATTAGTTCCTTTATTATGTGAGATTCACAGGAAAAAATTACATGGGTATTACATGGGAATTTGCATGAAATTCCCAAAGTAAAAACCCAGCATTGGGTATTACGTGGGAAAGTATATGCCAAGATTGGGAATTAGTTAGGATTTTGTTACAGGAAAAAGTACAAATTCCCAAAATTGGGAATAATAAAGAAACTCCCAATGTAAAACCCAATATTGGTTATTACATGAAAAGCAGTGTACCAATCTTGGGAATTTAGTGGGACTTTTAAGACTATTTCCCAAACTGAAACCCCAATCCTGGGTATTACACAAGAATTTCAATAAATTTCCCATTGTTAAAACCCAACATTGGGAATAGTGTTGCAGACTAACTCTCCCCCTTGGATAGACGGGGAAGTCCGGCATCTGATTCGAAAGAAGTATGCAGCTTTGAAAAAATTTCGTCAGAACAAGACCCCTGAACGCAAACAAAAATTGCGAATATTGAGTCAAAATATTAAGTACGTAATTCGCGCTAAACATCGGCAGTACTTAGCGCAAATTGAGCAGTCGTTTAAGGACAACCCAAAGAAATTTTGGAGCTACCACAAAGCGATTTTAGGTGGTCGATCTGGCACAAGCCCGGTGATATCATACAACGGTGTGTCTGCAAAGGAACCAGCACAAAAAGCAGACCTCTTCAATAAATATTTCTGTTCTGTTTTCCTTCCAGCAGCCTCCGATGTAAACAGACCTCAAATTAACATACCATTGAGAACTGATATGGAAATCTCGCAAATAGAAATATCAATAGAAGAGGTGAGAGAGCACTTGAATGGGCTAGACATCTCAAAAGCCAGTGGTCCTGATGGCATCCCAGGGAGACTGCTCAAACAATGTAGCGAACAAATAGCACCAAGTCTCTGCGCTATTTTTAGCAATTCACTTAAAAGTGGCAAAATTCCAAGTGAGTGGAAATCAGCGGACATAACACCAATTCATAAGAAAGACTCAAAAGAACCCGCCGACAACTATAGACCTATTTCGCTCATTCCCATTGTAAGCAAAATACAGGAACGCTGCGTGTTTAATCACCTTTATGAGCACGTCATACATCTGATCACCCTCTTACAGCACGGGTTTCTACGAAATCGATCGTGTGTCACACAATTACTGTCTGTTTTACACACCATAGGACAGTACCTGGATAAAAATGTACAGACGGACGTGATCTATTTGGATCTCGCTAAAGCGTTTGACACAGTGGACCATTGTATTCTCCTGTCTAAGTTAAGGGCCTACGGCGTTTCGGGGCAGCTACTAGCCTGGTTTTCAGACTATCTAAACGAGCGCGTCTAACGTGTAGTTGTTGATGGTGCTGTCTCGCAATGGGCACCAGTCACTTCCGGTGTCCCTCAGGGGAGTCTGTTGGGACCCCTGCTCTTCACGATCTTTATAAACGACCTGCCTGATGCAACTGTAGGAGGTGCGATGGCCGCATTATATGCCGACGACACCAAGGCATATCGCAGCATCAAAGGTGTTGAGGACTGCATATCTCTGCAGAACACCTTAACCAACATGAACGCATGGGCCATGCGAAACAACATTCGCTTTAACTCATCAAAATGCAAAGTCCTCTCAGTAACTCGAAAAAAAAGCCCATTTATCTACGGCTACAAACTCAATCATGTACAACTTGAGCGGGTCACAAGTGAGAAGGATGTCGGAGTTATTGTGACTAGCTCCCTTTCATGGGATTCACATGTCCATACCATCATCGCAAAAGCCAACAAGCTACTTGGGCTTCTAAAGCGTACATGCCCTTTTCTGACCGATGTTTCAGTCAGGCGGTCCCTCTATCTGGCTTTGGTAAAGTCACAACTGTGCTATGCAACGCAAGTGTGGTCCCCAGCCCAATTCAGTCTCAAAAGTCAGCTTGAAAGAGTACAAAGACGTGCAACAAGATGGATTCTAGGCACCAGAATTGGGGAAATGAGCTACCGAGACCGGCTTATCAAGCTGAATTTGCTCCCTCTCGCCTACGACCGCGAACTTAAGGACCTTGTGTTTCTTTACAAATGTCTGAATAACTACACGGATCTAAACATCCTTAACTTTGTTTCTTTTTATTTCCCACGGCCGCACCAGACGAAGTAATTCCTTCAATCTCACAACACCTTCGTGTAAAACAAGTACCTTTCAGGCCTCCTATTTCAACCGAACTGTTAAACTCTGGAACTCCGTATGTACCTTATCACCCCCGTCCAAGTTTTCTAACCCGACCGCCTTTCAAACTTTTGTAGCTAAACACATGTTCTCTCTTGTCTGTTCAGTTTTTGATGTTAATAGTCCGTGCACGTGGTCAATTGTTAGGTCGTGTCCCTGTCATTGATTTTTAGTTATCTAGCACTTTTTCACCGTACGTTTTTACATTTTTCATTTTTTTTTTTTTTTTTTTCGTTTTTATTAAGGGTAGTGCCCCGCATGGGACTCCATGTCCCGTTCGCACTGACCCTTTTGGCGTATGTCTATCCATTTTTTGTCTCTTTCCTTGTATATGCATTCATTTTGAGCTTGTAGACGTACCCAATAAAGTTGTTAAATTAAAAAAAAATTAATTAAATTAGATCGGTAAATCGGTGGAAACTTCTGCCCAAAAGATCAATTTCAAATTGGGAACTTTGCAAAAGGTAAAAAAGGAAGAGTTTATATCAAAATTCCAAAACTGGCAATTTCTCAAACTTGTAAAAAAGCAACTTTGCTAAAATGATATTGTTTTGGAAAAAATATGGGTGAAGCATTAGGTTTCGAGACAACTTCCCCAAATGTTATTATAGGTTGTTGGACTGCTTCTATTTTATTACACTTTACTCCAACAATAAAAAGTAATAGTGGAGAAGGGGACATCCAAAGCGCCTGAGCACCATACTAGGGATACTCCCAGTGAGTTCAGTATCATTCAATGTTAAAATGTACAACTTCTATACTTTCCTCTAAGAGGTTTATGTCCAACAGCTGGGAATTGCATCAGTACGTGTACAGAAATGCATGGCAATTACAACGTGTTTGCATGTTTGGAACTTGACTTGACTATGACATAAAAATCAAGAGAGTTCCAAATTATAACATTGTTTGAAATTTAAAACCCTGAAAAATGATATGTTGACTTTGAATTATTGAAGAATGTCTTGGGCATATCAAAATCATGGTCAAGTCATTTGCCAATACATTTTTTGCTGTGTAAACTGTAAAACGTATGTACCCAGATCTGCATTCTTATCATCAGTTATTAAAAGTTAATACCTGTACCAAGATGATGACTGATTGCCTGAACATGAATCCTTTCAAGGAAACAGCAGCAATGTCCCTTAGAGTTCTTTAAACATTCGTCCATTACTCTGCCAATTTCCTGCAGATCTGCCAAGTATACTTTTGAAGTGTACTTGCTGAGGGCGTGTACCTTCACGAACCCAGAGACCTGATTGCCTACCCCAACGAGGATGGGGTATATTGAGTCCTTTCCTGAACTGCTAACACCACTGCTCTCCATGGGTCTGGGTCATCACCCTTTATGAGTAACATATCACCCACTTCAGGATAACAGGGAACAATAACACTGGAGAGTGGAAAGCACTGTCTCTGAAAGTCGATACAAATGTAAATGCTTAGATCATTAAGATTTTCTGGATCTGGAAAAAGCATAACCTTCTGCTGGATTTTAGAAGAATGGACAATCTTTTCAGTACTTGATGGCCTTACTAAGGCTCCCTTGCTCCATTGGTGGAGTTGCTTTTCAGAGTTATAGATCACTGCCTGGAAGCAATCTCCAACAACAAATAAATGATATTCGTGGCTTACGTTTGTCCTTAGCAGCTGAGTAATAGTTAAAACACATTCATCGCCATCTTCAACAGAAACAATTATGTTTTCACCTACTCTATAAAGCATTCCTTTGTTGCCATTAACACTGGTGAAATAGATACTAAGACATTCTTGTGCCACATCACTAAGGCTTTCACCTGTTATACCTTGATCCTGACCAAATTGAGCAAGGATGGAATTCCTTTGCACTTCTTCACACAAATGAACAGGTTTTGATGCTCCAACTAGTATACCGTTAATTTTGGCCAGGTGATTTGCTCCATCACTGAAATGCTGTTTGGCATTTTCCAATTCAGCTAGAGATCCATAGTGTGCCTCCTTTGGATAAGAAACAGTTTCTGCAGAAGAGTTTCCTTGCGCTTTCAAGGAAGAACGCACCTTAAGAACTTCTCTGCGTAACTCTGCCCTCGCAAAAGTTATTTCAATATTTTTGAAGTTGGTTGATATTGCAATATAGCGACCAACTTCACGCTCAAAGTTGTAGCACCAAAAGTTATCTGGAGGACCAAAGTTTATCACATCCTCTTTAATGTGTCAGGTTATGATTGACAGCATGACAGTAAGTTAATCCCTGGCTTTCTTCAAGTAGAATATTATATCTTAAAACAGTTTCGCGAAAAATTGCTGTGGAGTCAATGGTCCACCCATTTCTTCCCTGACAATACAGATACTCAACAATTCTTGATAAACATTCCCAGGTTTCAAAATGTTCTTCCGAAACAA